CATGTTTTCAATGGGATTCTATGACGCTCCTCGACGTCAATCGTCATTGACCAACCAGGTGTTCCTGTTGTTTTATCTGTGATAGTGCGCCCGTCCATCGGAGAGCTTTGGATATGCACTTACAGGCCAAACAACAAATTCGATTTCTTCCACCCTTTTTAGCCCGCTTAAAAGGGTATTCAGTGAATTTAATCAGGCAGGCATTTTTAATTCGCTCATTAGTCAGCACATTAGAAGTGGTTCCCTAGAAACACTGAAGCTATACAAGATGTGCAAAACAGTTTGACAATACCGGCACATGGTTTAAACCTTATAAATTCAATATGTGGTGCGGCATTTGATACTATTAGGACGGTCAATTGCGCATCAAACGATCACCGCACTTGTCATATCTTGAACAACCTTTGCAACATCAACATTTGTAGAAAATAACTTTCTCAACATTCCTTAACCTCACAATATTCTGATACTTTTTGATGTGATTCCCAAAAGCAGCATGACTATAGTTTGTGCGTCGAAGCAAAAGGACTACGGGTCGTGGCTAAAGCATTGCGGGTTTTGACAAAGAATGTGGGTTAAGATTAAAGGACTGCGAGTTCTGACTAGTTTGATGCGAAAAGATGCAGGTAGGATCTACTCAAGCAATGGGCACTCAGTTTCCATAAGTGGCGCGATTTGAACTTTGTAAACATATTAAGCGTTAGATGTAAAATCAGCAGACAGAAGAAAAATGAGTGAAGGTGAGGTCAGGTACGACAAGTAAACGGTGACAGTTACAGTGAGATCTTTTTATGCGTTTGTTAGAGGAACAGCATTCGTTTCCACTGANTTTAGCTAGTTGATCAAGACTTTGATATCATGCGCTTGGAAGAGACCTCATTCAGTCGTATGTGTTCGATGCTATAAATGCTGTAGTACAAAGACCAGACTCCCTGGTTTGTCTGAATGTTCAAGCGCCCAAAACATGGACGTGGAAGAGCTAGTTATTCAGAACATTTCTGATAAATTACTGATTATGGTTCAATCTGTAATCGTCGAATAGTGTCTGCGGTAACAGTCTTGATGTCACGGAAGATGTGTGGGTATTGTAACGTGATCCACTAGATGACTAGCAGCCAGGAAATGAAGCAGTCTTTAACGAATCAATTTATTAACCCCACGGAATTGACAACTGTGTTACACAGAGGAGTAAAATTACCTACGGAAGTTTCTAAACTGTTAAGGATATCCCCAAACAAACAATATCTTAACATTTCTTGAGCTGAGTGTGAACGTACAGTTCAACCTGAAAACAGAAGTGAGTGCTTCAATCAATGGTGACTTCACTTGGGAACTTGTTCCGTGAGTTTCGCTATTGCGCCGTTGAAACCAAAATGATTTACCATATAATAATGACTGGATGTCCTCCTAATAAGTCAGGTGTGCACCATTTTGTAACCAAAGTGTTGATAAATCTTTGAACAAAACAAACATCACGTGTACAGCGCAGTAATTTGTCCATAAACCATCGAGCTGTCATAACAGTGCGAAATTTTAAACACACAAGCACGCGACATAATGACTGATGATATAAGTAGCCCCTCGGTACGCCGTAAACAAAACGCATAATGAGGAAAAGAATAAGCTACAGTTTTGGAAAAAATGATCTCAATACTAACAGCCTGCATTTGTCGCTATGATTCATCGGTCTTGTTCGATCGAGCTTGACGTAAATTGATTCACCCCATATCAGCGGCTTTCGAATATCGTTCATTAGTCAACAGATAGTATCGTTCCATTGTTTATGTTCAACGCTGGTACATTGCTTGAAATAATTCCGTTTGTTCCAATTTGTTTCATGTTCTTTCGCTATCAAATTACATTGTGCGCCAACTACTGCTAACACATTTCGCCACACCTCATCGTGAAATAGTCACAAGAGCAACTAATTCCGCCAGAAATCGATTGCAATACTTGGGTAGGAGGTGTTCAGAATACCAATAACATTCTATTAGCCGTATGCAATAGTCGGACGAGCATTTTCATTACAATATTCGATGGCCTTTGACAATTCCTTGATTTCGATCTAATCAAATCACACGATCGAACATTGGTCAATAACCGAGCATGAATCAAAGTACAACGAAATGGAACAATCGAGCAAAATAATTTGTTACCTGTTTGGATGCTGCACGATTGGTTGGCAAACAACAAGGACAGGTGTTGCGATCGGGATAAACATGTTGGCGTGTATGATTTGTCTTTTTCATAAAAAACATGGGTCCAGTCGAGGTATAACAGGAAAAATTCACGTAGCCCTAACTAATTAGGAAACTACGCGGTTATTTTGACGATCAGAGAATCTCGAACTCAGTTTAGCTTGGGTGATGGTTATTCGTGAATTTCTCATGCTCTGTATCAGCTAGCTGGTCGTGGTTTTGCGTTCAGGTATACTCGAACATAGGCTTTTGATCATCTTATTTAAATGAAAAGAATTGCATCATGAGAACGAGATAAGTAAAATTCACTCGCGAGAATCTATGAGACGCCCTCCGTGAAAAAAAACACTTCAGAAAGAAAATGAGGTTATCGTTTGTGGGAGGAACAAAAGTCTACTGAAGAACAAGGTAGCTGTTAAAGCTGGTGTATACGGCATTGGGTAACAGGCAAACGCGGGGAGTTTTCACAACAGAAACTACTTTGAAAAAGCTGCATATACATTTTCGGTAAGCGGGAAAACACGGAAAGAACCACAGACAACCGTTATAATCCTGCTACATTAAAAATACATTTTACACGACAGCCAGAGAATTTAGTTCCCATATTGTGAATATTACCCGCAACTTGCAACGGGGTACGTTGAGGATATTACTCAAGATCTGATAACAGCTCGAGGATGAAAATGTTTTACTTGAGGAGAATTGGGCAAAATATGCAGCGGTGAAACATAAAAAAATGGAAGCTCCGTACATGGTGTGATGCCGGGAGCTGATATTTCTCAATTTTATCGAAGAAAACCAACGATGTGCATTAGGTTTCCTGGACTATACTAGGTGATGAATCAAATCGGAAACTACGGAGTACAATGTCCAGCTGTGGTTCCCGTCTGCTTTTCCTCGGCGCTTTGCCAGACCAAATGCTCGTTGTCACCGGCTGTTACGCCCCACTCTTGCAACAGCTGACACCGGGAATTTGCTTTTCTCGCCAAGTGAATGGCCAAAATAAAACGGTCGACTTTCCACGCCAGACGTATAGACGACTCAGGGGAGGAAAAGTGGTGGATGCGTTTGTGAGTGGGGAACACGTTAACAATTCGACAGAGCCACGCCATAAATGAATTACCTATTCAGTAGTGTTTCCGATTTGGTGAATCAATTAGTTCGTCAATCCTGTAGTACCGACGACAGCAGATAATTTGTTGAAGCTTATTACACCAAAAGGAACACCTGAGAAAGTTATTCACGATGAGTCTATCATCAATCCGATTCGCACTTGGGAGAGAGAGAAAGTCAAACCCAAATAGTGATAACTGCCAGAATAAATCTGAAGATCACGCTCACTTGTAACTTCATGCTCGAATGATTTCGTCGAAGTAGACGGGGTGTACGCAACGGCGTCCCCTCGGGGATTGGCGAGGTTGATGAATTGGGTACGAAAGGGTTGGAAGGGTCGATATCCGCAAGATTCAATCCTGTGCAGCGAGAGTAATGAAGAATCAAATATCATCAGCATGCCAGTATTGGTTCACTCACATTGAAAAACCTAGTGCTACAACACCTTTTGAATGGGATGGCAACTCAGAAAGTGTTTTTCGTGAAGAGACTGTCCAGGATTAAGACTAAAAAAAGGAAAGCCACTCAAGTAGAGAAAATGCCGAATCTGTGAACAATATATAAAAAATACCATTAAAAAGGTTTTCTCCATTCAGGGATTGAAAAAGCTGTACAAAACGACATCTAAACGAAGTTGCTGGGGGATTCCAAAGATCATCAGAGATGGAGAATATTCCTGTTGATGCAGTTAGTATAAGGTAAGCTAAGGTAAGTAAATGCAGTGACCCCGAGTTGAGCGATCATCCCATCCGCGGAAACGCAATCAGCGGATCGGCTACTTATACAACATTAAACAAAACTGCAATTTGTCCCACGTTAAATACGGCTATTAGGTCTTGCTAGTGCAACAGACGTCGAATTATAAGCTCCAAAATGCCTACATGAACATCTGAGGTGAATTGATCGGCCTCAGAACTAACATGGTGCCGAAGCAATAACAATAATAATAATACGTATGAGGAAAATGCGAAAATCAAAGTCTCAGAAAGAGGCGACGAGGAAGAACAGATCGCTGAGTGCGGAAAGATCACAATAACAAATGCATTTCCAGTTGCCCAACTATTCTGAAAAATGCACTGCAATTGAAAAAGAAATAGAAAACATAAAACGGTGTCACAGACAACAGCATAAGAAGACCCTGTTAACCAATTACTTGGTGATGAAATAAGTTAACACTTGTTTGCTTCGTCTTCGTTTGAAAAAAGGATAAACAGTGATCATCCCACAAAAGATACTTGAAAGGATGACGCGGAACAACAACGTATCTTCATATTTGAACCCCATACGTTATTTCCTGAAAGCTTCTCCCAAGAAAATACATTTGGCCGGTGTCAATGTTTCCTTGCGGGAGGGTGAGTACAGTTAATGTGATATTCACAGTTAGCTACTTTCCGGAACATCTCAAAAGTAACGTAATTTGATGAGTCACTGAAAAATTCTTACCAACGTAACAGTACAATGGATCACAGTGAACCACCCAAAAAACGACTAGGTGGGGCGAGTTGCAAGATTTTGGGCCTTCAATGGATTTTCTTCTTGTCAGCGTTCAGCAAGTCAATATCTTCACGATTGTTTCAAAACACTGGAATGAATACTTTCTCTGAAAACATATCACCAACTCCCCACCATATTTTGTCGTCTTGACCTAGTTTAAATCAAAAGAGAATATTGGTAGGAGCGCTTTATACTGCGCATACTTTGTTTATAAAAAGGTAACATAACCAGCACAGCCCGAATGGAGCTCATCTGCCACTTCTCCGACCCACATACCGATTCTTTTCGAATAATAACTTGAAGGTACATCCAGCAAATATTTGTCGTCTTATCCTCCGTACCTACATCCGCTGTCCTGATCAGCGGTAACTCTAATGTAACCACCAATCATATAACGGTATAGGTTCAGGTGTGATCATATCATGTCAATCTTTCATACTGAAGGAAAAGTAATAATAGCACACAATAAAGCACCTAGAAAGTGTCGGTGTATTGCCATGTGAATTCTCTGTTAGGCTGTCACCGGCGAGCTTTGGACCCTATTATCCGAGATTCGAAGCCTGCCACCATCATCCAACTTTGGTGATAGGCAGCTTTGCTGTTGTCCGGTTCAATACCACGCCTAGCCTATCGGGGCTTCATGTGATTCAACAATCCAAGCTCTGGGGCTTAGGCTGCCGGTTCCCTCAAAGGTTAGCAGGCCTTAGTGACTATGGGATTCATTCCGTTTGATGTTCATTACACCAATCTGTGTAATATTAATAAAAAAGTTGCGCTTTATATAGTTGACAGTAAAGATAGGTATGATTTATTTTCGAAAAATGGAAAAGCTAAAAAAAGTAGACCTTACCGTTGACATTGGTCAGGCTGAATTGGGCAGGGGAATAGAACTCCTGCAGTCTTATTTTTTCAATGGAAGACAGAGACATGTCCGGAGCGGTTCTGCGGCGACCATTAGACATGACAACCGGACAGTTGATCGCGTCCATCACCTGCACGGCATGTAAACTGCAATCGACAGAAGACAGTGCGGTAGGCACCAAAGAGCAAGTTTGGGNAACAGTGAACATTCAGCAATATCTGTTCGTCAATAAGAATATCTACTACCGCTTTAATGAAAATTAGCTTTTAGACATGCACAGCGTGTTTCTATAGAATCTAGCAATGAGACCAATGAAGGCGAAAAAAATATCCCTTTTGTCCAACCGCCGTTTTACTACACAACCATCATCCAATGTTGGTATGAGTGGTAAGGCGCAGTACAAAGTAGTCAAAACGGAAGTCTAAATGAGTATCCTTGAGAGAACCACATAACTATTAGCCCAGAATAAGATTTCTCAGGAATGGCCCAAAGTAGATGATGTGTAACACAGGCGTACAAAGGCAGCTCACGGTAGTGCAACATCTCCGTTGGGGACTGCTCACCATTATTCTGACAAAATGTGAGAGGTAAACATGGAATCTAACACAATTATCAGACTTGTGCAACAATTGTTCGCCAGTCAGGAATTCGCAGTTATCCCTAAGAAAGATAATTCTAAAGATCTATTTGTTCCGGAGAAATTCAAGCGTTTCAATAAAACATTCACTTAGTTTTGTATTATTGTCCTCCTTTCGCTTGACCACCATCCCATGTTGCAGGTTACGTATACGCCGTTTAGATTACCTGTTTAATTATCCTTCCTAAATCATTGCATATCCATTCCTGTGAAACCCCTAGACCTCGACACATTTGATACACTTCAGTGGACACGTTGAACTCTGTTCACCCACAGCTATCAGTACTTCTAACTTTATTCATATACGGCATGATATGATATAACCCATGTCTTCACAACTGTCGGTATTCGAGCATCACTCTTGTCCTGTTCCTCGTTCACCTACCCCTTTGAGAACATGTCTGATTTATAGACAGCATGCTATTTTTTGTGACATATTGGTGCCGACATATCCGTCTCACATATGTGTTTGTGACCTGTACCCCACTTCCGATGTAACCGATCATTATTCATTCCGAACTGGTCCTTATGTCAGATTGTTTACGTCTACTTCCTCTTGAACTCCCGTTTGAGGTGTTTCAGATCGCTCTATTACGTACCGTGTATTTCGGGTTACACTAAGACGCATCTATATACCCATTATCGATAAGCAACCCGGTACATGAACCAATTGACGGTAATTGGGCGGTGTACCACTTTAAATACACTGTTCCCTTTGGTGTTACCCGTTCTTTGGTTTGTCGGGGTCTAGCGAGTGGCTTGACTCGATACCACGTTCCATTCTGTTCTGTTGCCTGGTTCCTGAGCCGGATTGCTCATAACTTGAGGTATACTCTCCATACTGTTTGTTTACCTGTGCCGCAGTACATGCAGACTACCGACCTCGTGTTCTATATGTCTGTACTTGGGGGATTAATTTCTGCGCGTCCATCAATCACTGGAAGTCAATCCGGTAAATAATAATAACAATTAGACTGAACTGTGATGAAATGAATAAGGACATACTTAAGATCAACATTGTTGTCGTTTGTTGAGGTCATCGATGTATCTTCATCGCTTTCATTTGTCGCGATTTGAAGGCGCACCAGTTCATGTCTCAAGGGTGAGACAAAAGGCTGTGATTCAGCCCAAGTAATTGAAGAAATGGACGACTGTTGAAACTTGGTCTGGGTCTCTGACATCAGGTGACTAGATTGGATTGCCTGCACCTGATTTTCATGAAACGATACACGAGGACTTGAACCGCAACGGCCGCTTCCGGCAGGAACCTGAGATAAAGGCATGGCGATATATCATTAAACTTGTTATTTTTTATGGAAATGTTACGCAAGTAACGAAGGCAATTTTTGACAAAATTTCGAACTCGTCAATAAAAAAAAACGATAATGCGAACGACTTTACCTGATAACGTGATGGAGTAAGGCGAGTTTCCCAGTAACCAGGTAAGCCCAATGAAACTCACGGGGAAGAAAATAGACTAAATGAACTACTAGGAGCAGGTTATCGATCGAAACCTGACCGACTGACATAGTCACGTGAAATTTTTGGTTAACTGTTCACGATGAATCATGCATCGCGAAAATTCCGAAGCCTGCAGGTCAAAGAGGCGCCGTGCCAGGCGCAACGGGATGGTTTTATGAGTGTAGGTGGTCAAAGGACAATAATGAAAGGAAACCAATGAACATCGATTCGGGTGACAACCGATTCTGAACTACATTTCGTTTGAAAAATTAAATAACTTTTCTTACAAGGATGAATGAGACTTTATGCAAACAACCCTAGAATGTTTCGGTTTCTGGTCGGTCTCGCGTAGGTTACTCTGACAACGTAACTTTTAGAATGTTTTCAAGGGCTTTCGGTACCCCTAAACCAAAAACGTCAAATACGCTGCCGAAATCACAAGATTCGAAAGCGAAAACGTTACTTCGAAAATCTGATGAAACTCAGAGACATGGTTGGCATAACAGGCTTGTCCGTATTTTCTCACCCGAACCTATCAACTACTTTGTTTTCACTTAACAGATGATCACAATTACTGTACACTGGAAACAATCTATAACTGATGTGATCGTTTTTCTTCCCTCATAAAGCAGCCCTGTTGACAAAAGAAATGTGCGTATAAACTGAGGCACTACCGTTTAGCGAAGACCCTTACAAAGTCATTCAGCCTAAAATTCGCAGTCCTAACTTTGTTTACGATTAACACATTTCCTCAAACCATAGCCGTTGAAAAATCTGGAGAATAACTAAACAGACTGTGGCTCTTCTGTTAGTCAGCGCTCTTCGCCCGTAGATAATGAAGATATGAATTGCAGATTCCTACGATTAACTAAGCTCAGGTGGGCATAAAACAACGGTTACCCTCCGGAACTGAAACTTTTCTATGGGTGACTGTGTAACAGAAATATGTAAGAAACCACAATCACCACACCCAGATCGAATTCGCGGGTCAGATGGGTTACAATCCATTGTGTTAAAATGCGTGCTTGGAATTGTTGATAGAAATCAGTTTTTTTCTATTCTCAGAAACCGTAGAGTCCCTCGCCTACCACTACCGTCCGAACAGTCTACATGCTACTATGGCAGTCTCCTCAGCCTCAATTACTCAATTAGGGGTTGCCTTTTGTCTCCTTTTCTTTACTCGGTTGCAATGACTCTGTGCTGATCAGTTCAGCTGAGGATGTCATCTTCGGTTCACCCTATCCCAACGCACTTGCCTTCGCTGTTATCCAGCTCGGTATCTTATATTCCAATAAGTGGTCTTTCGCACACAACCTTTCTATAGACCTATCTAAATGCGTTGATGATTCATTTTTTCTTTGAGACAGTAGATCGCACTCCGACTCTTTTGAGATGCACCAGTCACCATCCATTAGTGATACACTCCGTAGTCGAGGAAGATCAGTTAGATACTTGGGTGATATTTTGAACCATTTTCTTACTTGGTAAGGGCATAGTAATAATATTTTTACAAGTCGAATTTTTGTTTTCTCTCCCCCCCCATGCCTAATACCCTCATAAACTCCTTTACATCTGATAAAACAACTAGTGCATGTCTGCACTATAACATACTGGTTTTTGTCTTCTCGGTGATTTGTTCTGGTGCACTTAAAAAACGAAAAACGTGAAATCCGGATTACTCCGACGTTTAGTCAGGTGTTGCGGTTTACCCAGAACCCACAGCGTGCATCACATTATCTGCTGACCCTCCGAAGCTTGTGATGACTCATAAAATACCGTCACACCTTTGTCACCTTCCATTATCCAAATGCATTTTTATCTCCTCTACTCGATCCAAGTACAGCGTCATTCAAGCACGTACAGAAGCATACAACTCCTCTCTAGTTCCTTATTTTGTCGGTCTTTTTCTATCACACGGATTAAATGTTTCGTGAATCTACAAGAGCTTTGAGTTGACTCCGTAGTTTTGGCGTATCTAGTTGTCTATCTGTTGTTTCCTGTGGGGCATTTGGCAGCTGAATATGAAACGGAAGTAATGAAGGATTTTCCAAACTTGACTTTCCCAGAACTCTTCTACGAGGTTATCTCCTTGCCTCCATTTCAATCAGGAAAAGATACAGGGAGAAGACGATTTCCTAAGAGGAACATTGCTAACCAATGGTTACCCGGGAATGTTTACAGTAGACCATTCCCAAAAGGTAACCCAAGCCAAAACGTCAGTAAAAAGACCATCTAAATGAAGCTTGCGTTCAAAGGTGCCCACATTTACAATGATGTGCGTCATAAGTTGAGGTCAGCTCTAGACCGTACATTCCCAGCTGCTCAAATCAGACTCATTGTCTTCATTCGTGAAATTGATTTGGACAAACGTAAATATGACTGGTAAGCCGGTTCCGTCCAACACACTGTTTACCAGTTCATCTGCAGTTGCGGTGATCCATACATAAGCAGAACTAGCCGTAAGCTCTCACAACGGATGGCCGAACATATTCCAAAATAATTGGTGAAATCGATGACGCAACGGATAACTGATGGCCAAGAAATCCAGGGTCATCTGTTGCAAAACACATCACGACAACAAGACACATAGTTGACCCCAAATTCGTTTTTCAAGCCCCTATTAGAAAATCGCAATGCTAAACCTGCTTATTCGATTACATCAACCGACATTGCGCGCACAAACGTTTTTGATAAAATCAATCTACTTACCGTGGAGTTGATCTTCACCTTCTTAATTTAGGACGAATTCCGTTGCGGTTGACAGCCGTCAATTACCACCCTGTTCAGTTAACTCAAAAACTCATAATTGGCTGGAGGATTAGTAATCATTTGTGCGGTGGGTTTCCCTCGAATAGCCCTGTCACTCTCCTCTGTACATCTAATGAAAGAAACCGAATGGGACATCCACCTTTCCGTTAGTCTAGCTTCCGACAACACATGGTCCAAGATAGACTTGGGATATCTGCGTACATTACAATCTATCTGATCCTCCTAAGCTTACCCGCACAAACTTCAGAGTAGGGTGGTCTTACAGCATTACACCTGGCATTGCAACAGGTGTGACTGTCGAATTCTCCATCTGTGGAGTGCCAAGGTGGCACCTTCACGTTCAGGTTTGTCAAGTCGGCAGCTACACTATAAAAGGGAACATTACTATGTTTATTATGCTGGTGATTTGTGCTAAACAGTTAGCAAGAACATAGACATAGTTGATAAGGTCGCGCGGAAAGGATTTATGAAACCATGAAATAACCACACTACACAAATAAAGGTTTCTTCAGAAATCGAAGTCCACTGCGAGGTTCTTGAACTTGAAATCTCAAAAAAAGTAACGGACAAGTGGGTTGAACACGATGATTAGCATATTATAAAAAGGAGAAAGGATAAAAAAGAAGCTAATTGGGACATTTTCGGGAAAATGACTAGTTAAAGTATTCTCCCACACATGAAAGAACATTATTAAGAATAGTGAAATTCAACAATGATTCCTGAAATTAAATGCAGTGCATTCATCATAGCCGGTGACAAGAAAATATGAATTTTAAAAATATCATCTATTTATTCAATACAAACCCACCGAGTGCCGACACGATTCGGAACAACATTTACTAAAAACAATAATATAAATGGATTCCGCTTATGTAGCAGTGAAAAAAGCGCGAAAAAGTGCTCCATTAAACCATTGTTTCGTAACAACGTCGGTTGTTAAGTATTTTATTTGCTTGAATAGATCGCAAGATTACCGCATACGTAAAAACACTCCACCAATGACTACACGTTCGTAATTTGTGTTAGGTCTCCCCAAGGAATAAAGAACGTGCGCATCAATGTCTACGGCTTTAGAAATTGGGCGCGTACAGGATGTGTAACGTACCGGAAGAGGTAGCCCATCTGAATTGGAGGATTGTGGGCCCCTTTAGGGTAGCCTCCGTTCTTTCGTCTTCACCAGGCGCTCAGCTCTCACCTGTGGCTCCAACCTGTATGGATGCAACAACGGCCACACCTTGATAAACTGCTCGGCAAGCGGGCCAAACTAAATTGAGGGTAACCGGGAGCTGAACTCCCGGCGAGTCGGTGTCAGACGTATGCGTTGGGCGGACGAACTCGCTTTACAACTCAACGATCAAGACAATGACTCCGCATGCACCAGGGATGCATGGACCCCTGTTCAGCTAAAATGTGTCCATGACGTATGAGCTCCCTCCTCAAAAGCCCATCACTAACCATGCAACCCGGATCCAAAGCCGGGTGACAATGGGGACGTTTGCTGTGCCCAACACCCAAGGAACTTGTCTGGATAACCATGCTACGGCGTTCACGGAAAGCGACGCGCTCTGTGCTGCTCCAGTGGCTCGGGCGACAAGTATGCGCACTGGACATCTTAAACTACGCAAAACGTCTTACATTGAACGCTGTAACTTAAGGCCACTATTATATGTCGGGAGTCAGGCAGTAATAATGCGTGCGCTACAATACTATCAGCTGGATATTACGTATCTATAAGAAATCAGATTAGCGGGCTCCGGCTTCAATATTATCAAAAGAGTGCAGAGGCTTGGTCACTACGGAAACAAGATAAAAATAGATCATCGGTGTTCGAATACCGCTGTCTACGTCCCACTGCACGAGTCCGGTGGGGTAACCGGACGAGTAATGTGAAGGGTAGGCGTAGGCAGTCGCGGTCGTCCACTAGAGCAAGTGGTTGACCTCCACAGATTACGCTGGTTGGGGCGTGTTACGCATGTCACCAAATTCGTTGCTACGGCGAGCAATGTTTGCCGAGACAGGCACCGGATAGAAAAACGTCAAGGGTGATCAAACGAAGACCTGGCGTGAGTATGAAAACCCTAACCAGGAGACTAGGTCACATGGGCCGCGTTAGGCTCCCTGGATGGGGATCCCAAGAGATGATGGTTAGAGACACTGAGTGATANAGTGATATGGCTGGGTATCGTAAACAGTGGCGCTCGCGCATCCACTCATCAGTTTCCATACACTACTCGATATAAATCCTCCATCTTCCGCTTGAATTTGCTTTCAAAAATCCTATCTTCATTCTACTATTTTATCCAAATGGGGCGCCAAAAGAGAACAACCAAAACCGGCTCACAAAAGTGCATGGTTAATGGCTGTAAAAACTGAAGAAGCTAGAAGGCTCTCTGCAGACGCCTCTGTTAGTTGTCAAGGGGTGAATTGCGTGGGTTGTGTAACTATATTCCTGCATCACATGTATTCACAGGAGAGTATTCCACCATCCGGGGTGATTAGCGTATAGCGCGTTTTCAAAAAGGGATCTCGAAACGACTGCAAGATGAGTTCAATTGACACAGTAGCCAAGTAAACAGATATCTTTGAGAGTAACGAGCACCTCTCAATAACTGGCGAGATTCTGACCAGATCACACTTGAGAAAGCTCGATGAATCCGTATTCATCATACACAAAACGGGATGAAATAGTCCGCAATGAACTGTAGAAAATTGGGACTGAAAATTAGATTTATGGTGTTGTAAACACCGAGTGGAAGTGAGAAAGCTGAACACTTTTTTAATGTCAATAGTGGAATTTTTAACCCACTGACCTATGATTGCTCATTATGACGATTCTTCCCAACATCTGATGTAAACAATTGAATCACAGTAAATCACTAGATCCTCAATCCGGACGGATGGGAAACGTTTCGAAGGAAACAAAAACGGGATCTTAGTCGAATCGACTCTCGAGAAACTTTGGATCTAAACTTTGCTCTGAAAACAGTCGTTAAGTTTATGAACAACAGTAAAAGCACTTGATCAGCTAAGCAAGTGTACGTATTCAAGCAAGCAATAATGGCGACAGTTTGTGTGAAAATACCGATACAACACTTAGACTCAGATATATGAGAACGCAGGTGCAAGCGGTCAGCTTCCCGATTAGTCTTATTGTCCTTGTTAGGTGGATAGGCAACCTAATGTGGAGATACAAGAGCTGTCAATGTGGCGTCGTAGTACGATCGGGGCAGCATAGGCGGCACAAGTTAGAACAAAACTAAACTTTATACTTAATGTAGAAATAAATGTGATTGGTGCATTGAAGTCAAGTATGAAAATACAACAATGTCCAACAAGTTTGATCGGAACGAGTGGATAAAATGGGGACAGTGAGGATCTACTAAGAAGACGTTCGGATGAAGCTATTGCATGATCATATCCAGCCGCCACTCTACGTTTGTTCACAAGCCCGCCTCAGCTCTGCAGAAACCTCAAGGATAAGGTGTGCATCCTCTCTTGAAGACGAAGACAAAATTGTTCGTTATATTGTTTGGTTTTTGATATTTCTAAGGGAATCTTCCACAAACTATATACGATTAAATAAACTGAAAACTCCGCCAAATTCTCCAAACAACAAAACCACAATCAACAGGAATACTGCTCATCCAGATAATTCACAGAAGTCGCATTAAAAAGTTCAGATATTTTTAGGACTACTACAGTCTCAGTTTAGTTTTTAAACGATTACCATGCATTTTCATGCGCCAGTTTTGATTGCTCTTTTTGTGGTCCATTAGGATCAAATAGCAGAATGAACATTGGAATGTTGGGAGCAGAGTTACAGAAAAGATTACTACGGATCAATATTATAAACTTCAATGGATCGGAACCAGTGTGATGTCGCAGATAGAACGAATGAGTGTGCTAAATCAGCCAAAAATGCACCCTACCAAATTTTTTTAGTGACGCTTAATAGCATTCTGTTAAAAGAAACTCAACACATTTTCACATCCGGTTATCCTTTGTGATTCAGTATCAAGAAATGTTCTTGTTACCGGTTGTCTGCCTATATAAGAGGAGATGATCACAACCATTAGTGACGGAACTTGTAAACGTAGTCCACTTGACGGGATGACTACCATAACACGTGAAGTGTCAGACAGTGTCCCATGGCACATTTGTCACTGACAGGTAGTGGCAACTAAACTAAACCTTATCCATACACAGTGATTAGTTAGGCCTTATACCATGACTAGGCACAAAGAGCTCAATGAGAAGCTCCAGTAACTTATAGATGGAAACGGTGGGGCCGGGATTGTGCTGTAAATCCTGGTTGCAGCATCACTATTCAAATAGATATCACACACATATACTGGAAACAATCAAACGTTTCATACAATCAAATCGTAGGGTTCGTCCGGATACTTTGAAGACCTCTTAAACTAGTTACGTTTCGGAAGCTAATTCGCCTACTGGGGAGATTCAATTTTTCTTCTTTTGGTTGACTCTCGTTCTGTGGATCAGGTAATGAAGAATCTCTATGGTTGGTACAAGGTGGCATTCGAAGAACCATTCAGCGTTTCTTCAGAGATGCACAACTAGTTATCAACATGTAGGGTAGCAGTTTGGTGGCTTCACTTAGTGGATGGATACCCTCGGGTTAAGTGGAACTGAATGCTACCACGCGAGCCCCAGGTTGTGAATAGGGGGATAACTGCAACGTAGAAAGTTATCTGTGAATAGGTTGTGGAATACCGCAAAAAAATAAGCAGTCTCGAACGAACAGCGGCGGCACTACAAGGGTGTGCTGTGTTTCAGGATGGTCACCTAGCTCCTGTTTAAAAGCCCATAAGCCCAATGACAGTATCGTGAGGAAGGTCGATGTGGCTGCTCTTCTAAAACTAAAGTCATTAAACCTCGCTTCCGTGGCGAACGATTACTTCCTGCTGCCTTACAGTTCACACTTGGTTGTGCAAAAGCTAGAGGTGCGCCATCAAAAAAAGCCAAGTGACGCTGGGGAGGTCTCTCGTATCAAGCTCCCAAGGAACTTCATCATAATGTCTGGAACGGCTTATCCTTTCAAAGGACCAAACCGTAGTACAAAACATTACATGGTCAGCGACCGTTAATGTAAAAAGGCAATCTATTTGTAGATAATAACCTGAGACCTTTTATCGGCTCAGGTAGTGCAAGGCCTTCTGCGAAATCTAGATTTTGATCTGTATCTCAAAGATCCAGCGAAGACCGGCCAGGAACCGGTAAAATGTACCACTAGGGCCAAATAAACTTCGGTGGCTGCGACATTCAAGAGCATCTTAGAGAGACGACCCATTGCTGTCTTGCAGTTCACAGTTATTTACAGAGAAGCCAGAAGGACATTTGCTAATAACAAAAATGAATGTGTTGACGAAGCATTTTCGATTGTAACTAAAATGACTGTTACATAAACGTGTTAGTCGCATGCCATGAAATAATCCCCAAAGGAAGTGAGGGCTAAATTTAAACTTCGTTTAGCGACCCGACAATAAGCAAAACCAGAAAATCACATCGAGGCTGACCGCATCCATCTATTGTGAAGCTATAATCTTCATTCAAACTCATCCATGAAATTTCTTGGGATTTGGGTACGGGAAACGTCCCCCGCGTCAACCGGCTTTGGATCCAGGTGGTGTTTCTCTCTTTTGCACATCCAAGTGCTAACTGCAAGGCAGCAGGTAGCGCATGGTTGGCGGTGGGCCTCTGAAGAGGGAGCTCATACACATTTTAGCTGAACAGGGGTCCATGCATCCCTGGTGCATGCGGAGTCATTGTCTTGATCGTTGAGTTGTAAAGCGAGTTCGTCCGCCCAACGCATACGTCTGACACCGACTCGCCGGGAGTTCAGCTCCCGGTTACCCTCAATTTAGTTTGGCCCGCTTGCCGAGCAGTTTATCAAGGTGTGGCCGTTGTTGCATCCATACAGGTTGGAGCCACAGGTGAGAGCTGAGCGCCTGGTGAAGACGAAAGAACGGAGGCTACCCTAAAGGAGCCCACAATCCTCCGAGTCAGATAGTTTACTTCTCACGGATATCCCATGCACTCATACCCATCTACGTATCCGCGAAGGTGGTCATGATTCAGAGAAGTAGCAAATCACTTACTTGGATTATCGCCAGTAGATTATACAACTCGGTCGCTTCCCGTTCCATTTACTTTTTCTCAATGTGGCTGCGGTTCGAGACATGTCGGACACCGATTTTCGACCTGAGAGTGCCAGCATGCACCAAAATTCTTGAAGAGGTGAACTTTCAGCAGGCGCATAGATTGGTACATCTGTTGTATGTCGACCGGTGTAAGCCCGAAGCTTGCCCTTCCAGTATGAAACTTCGAAGTCGACGAATGACTAGATTCAACAAGGTTGTTTAATGGCCATTTGAAACTTGACCTGTGTTTAGAAGGCTTTCATGATACAGCTGTTACTGCCGCGGCAGGTGCCTTATTCAAATAACTCTCCTGCTCTCTCCGCTCTTTTCACCCACCTTTGGAAAAGTTATCTTATTTTATTATTGCATAACACAATCGATACACTTAATGGCATAACGTTTCTACTTCTGTTCTGTGTAATTTATGACGTTAACTTTAGTTGATATTAC